ACTAGTATCAAAAATAGTTAGAATCGGTTTAATATTGCCCCTAGTCGACATGGCTTCATACCATTGTGCATAGGAAATATCTTAACCAGCGAGCATCTTATTCTAATAGCAATAACACGCCTATCTCTCATATATCTAATATAAGATTCTCAAACTTCCTGTTAAGTGTATACCATATACATTGTATATGTATTTGTATCGTTGGCGCATGTGTGTGAAATTTAATTTAAATTAAATGGATATGATTTCGGTAGTATATGTGCTTTAGCGGTACATATATTCATAATCTTGATCCAATTCTTCTATTTCTAATATAATGAAATTAATAACTTACCAAATATTTTATTAACCCATTCACTATCTTGTCGACTAATTTATGTAGAATTTATTCACAAAATTTTCTAATATAAAGTTTTGCCAAACTTGCTACTATTTCAACAACTTTAAGCGGTGAAAATTGCGAGAGTATAGTAAATATTGGGTTACACTGAACTTAACTCTAACTTATTGGTGCATAATGCAATTTCTTTGCCTATTTCTTCTGTAAATAAAGTTTGTAATAATAATGAGGACAATCCATAAATTACTCTAGATTTGCATTCTAATGTATTGTACTAATACTCTTTGCGTACTGTACGTAGTTGACTGAGTATTTCCTCTAAATGTTTAATTAATTATCTGCAATTATGCATATTCTCGCAGGAATACATCAGTATAATAATTATGAATACACAAGCACATCATATATTAGAAGTTTTCGGATTGTAGGAGAATTTTCATTGCTGTCAATAAATTATTAACCAATTAGACGAGGAATTTCAAATACATTTCACAGAGCAATAATTACAACGGTATATATTTATATAAGCATCTTTCTACATAACAAATATGGTAGCTATTTGAAATTTCTGCACAGAAATCTTAGCGCAAAGCTAATTTTACATAATTATAAATAAATACTAGCATAGTATTTGCACAATCCAGTTCGAAGATCAGTATATATGCGGTTACAAGAACAACAATAGCAAATTAATCGATAAATCTCTTGCATATTAAATATTTAAGAAAACTGTATTATAGAACATTGTACATGTCTAGTTAATAATAACGATGAGGATAGCTCTAGGGGGTGTTCATATTTTTCTACCGTTATTTGAATGATAAGGTCCCAAAAGATTACGCTGTACAACACACGGCGCGGCAGTGAACGAAACCAATATTTTTCGAGATATGCATGTAGTAACTAAGAAATTAAAAATATAGACAGCATTTATATTTTGCTCTTATTACATTGTTGAATAATATTTTTTGATTGCATAACTATTGTACATAGATATGTGGAAACAGTTGTCGGATCTTCGAAAAAATAAAAAAAAAAATCTATTTTAAAAAACTCGCCGACTTTTGTTCACTTATAGCATTTGTTGTATAGGCTTAATAAAAAATTATATAAGCCATTCAAATATCGGGATGACGACACATCGCAACAAAATATTTACACGAAAACACCACAGTTTATACAATATTAAATATGCGCACTTTTCTGTAACGCCAACTAAGCCCTCGATATACAATTAGTATATATATCGATTTCGAAATCATAATAACCAAACTTATTAGATATAAACTTTCATCGAAAATCATTGAAAATCAAATGTTTAAAGCCAACCAATGCTTGAGCAGATGAACTATATCACAAAAGCCTAATACTATATAGACTATACTACATATATTATATTATATATACTTGCATATGTTCATTTGTTTATTTGCGTTTAGGCAAATAGAACATTATATATGTACACACGAAATGTAAATAACATTTAATAAACAACAACAAATAAAGTCAAAATCAGCTTGTCGACAGCAAAATCAAAGAAAACAAACAAAATGGCAACGCTTTGGAATGATCGGAAAACAAATGATGACCAATATGAGTGGTTGAAATCATGTTGCTGCGAAATATTTGTTTGTGGTTATTTTACGCTTTTAAAATTTACATTGTTATTGTCGATTTTGTTGGTGTTTTGACAAAGTGAATCAGCGAAATTATTAAATAACAATACCTGGTCCGGGAGAAATACGCCAAACCAACAAAATCAATTGAATATCAAAACCAATTAATCAAGTAAAGCAAAAACAACAATAAAATTGGTGTGGCATTTTTGTTTGCTTAGAATAATTCTAGGCATGCCGAAATGGGAACATAAGAGGATTATAACTATGTTAGAGAAATTGACATTAAGTAGCGCTTTTTTGTTTTTTAATATACAATATAAAAATAGTATATGAGTCTTCTTTTGGTATGCTTGGGAATCCGTAACTAGCAAAAATTGTTAACCACAAATGTATCGCTTTTTTTAAGAATTTTTCAATTCTATATTTCGAACTAAATAGCGACGACATTATCAAATAAAATATGCTTTCAGCAAATAAAAGCTGGGTATAAAAATATTGCGTCTCTACTAGGCAAACACGATAACTAAATTACATGTCTCCTGGTGCTTTAGAGACCGTTTATTACTTACTTATCTCAATCCAAATTGTTTTTAATCTGATTAATAAAGTATTTCGTTAATTTCGTTTCTTAAAAAAGTTTACCGCTTACTTTTTCGAAGTGTTTTACAAATCTTACGATCTTTAGAGCCCATTTGCTCTAAAATATTCACATTCTACCAGAGTTTGATTAAAAGCAGCAATATTAGCGAAATTATAAAGCACGTTTTTTTAATACTAGCCGCCATTGCAGTTACTGAACTTTTTTTGAGTGTATTTTTCATATTTGTGCTGACGTACTAACCCAAATTTCATCAATCTTAAGCGAAATTAGTTTCGTTACCTGCTACTGTAGCCATCCCAACTTTAAAAAATTTGAGAATATAAATATTTTTTTGTCCACTTATTTACGAGGTTATTCTTTCATGGACCTATAGCATACTATATTTACTAACAAATACTTTCTTTGTGTACACAACTGAGATAAAACAATACATTCATTGTACCATCTAATCAAATTTGTAGCGGACTGGCAAATTTTAACTGCGCGCACAAACCGAATCGATAAAGTTAAAAAAAAATTTTTTATTTTTTTTGGTACAATCTTTTTTATTGTTATTGTGTATTTGGCAGCTGTTTGTTTAGTTTACTTAAATTTTTTTTGTTTCTAATGTAATTACGTTTGCGGAATCTTTGAAAATGTTGCAAAACTATTTTTGGGAGCCTGCTTTGTTACGAACACATGCGTCGATAAAGTTAATGAAATAGTATTTAAAAATCGTAGCGTTAACAAAGCAGCTCAACATTTCTTGTGGATCGACTCAATACGTAATGGGTATGAAACGTGTCAAGACTTGACTTGCACCAAAAAGCTTAAACCTTTAGACGCTTAATAGAGGTCACATAAGAGATGCTTGACAGCATAGCTGAATACTCTACATTCAACAAACGGGCAATAGCTCGTGACGAGATATGTAGGTTTATGAATATGATGTCCAAGCTGTTCAACAATCTTCAAAAAATCGGTCAAAAATCAAAGTAAAATTCCACAAAGTCGAGCGGTCTGTAAGGAATATTACTTGGCCGTATTGAGGCATCTATGTCTTGAGCCATTCATTGTAAACGGTTGGATTGTTGGATGGGCGGAAAATTTATAGATATATAATGCGCCGTCACTCTAATTCTTTTTGCAAACACGAAGTGAGAGTCATCGTTTAGCTAGTATTCTACAGATTTGGCTTCCTGTGACTTTTTTCTGTTTTCGAAAATGAAAGCTCCGCTTCAGAGAATGCACTGAAAGTCATCCCAGCCGAGGCTTGTAACAAGTGTAAAAATGAATTAAATTTTGGCATACTGGTATTGGCGCAAAAGCAGCCTATTTTAAAGGGAATAGTAAAGATTTTTATTAAAATATGTGAAAATGTTGTTTCCCGCGCATATTTATCAGTTGGTCAAAAACACAGATAGAATTTATTTTTTTTGCAACTTAGCTCAGAATATGTGAGACTCGATTAATTGTGTAAATACTGAAGTTTTCTTTCCAAAGCTTTACTTCAAATACACACATAAAAATTGCATTAGGATTAGATGTAGACTATAGGGTATTGTTCCTATTATGATGGTGTTATTTGACTATAGCATTTTTTTGCTTAAAGGCTTTCCAAACAAATTTCCAGCAAGTTGCGATCAATAAGTGATATTACAAATGTCAATATTCGCTAGACTGAGGTTGAAATGTCTTGAATGTCACACTCTCCATCAACCAGTAGATTTGGCTGGAACTGAAATTGGTTGACTCAACAGACAGAGATTTTTGATAACCTCCAAAAAATTCGCTGATATTTAAGGATCCTTTAATTTATATCTAAGAACCACATCCTATCTGTCGAAGTGGAATCAAAAAAACTAAGCGTTTTCACGAGCCGACATTATTCCTTACCATATAGCCGAGGAACCCGTGGAATGACTTCGTGGCATTGAATTACCATATACTGTTAACAAACGTTTCTAAACTTCCTCAGACCTTCGGCACATCCTGTATATGCATACGGTTATATATTTGCTTATATAAATATAAGTAAACACATTTTTATGTCTCAATTATTATTGCCATTATTTAAATAAACTTGCGCAACATACACAACATATGCTTTTTTGTGTGTGTGTGTGTGTGTTTGTATGTGTTGGAGTGTTTGTGCGTCGACTGTCCGCCTTTTGACACATCATTAATCAAATATAGCGGTGCCGGAAGTGGCGAGCACACACACATATACATATGTACATGCAAAGAAAAACACACATACAAAAATTACGCCATTTACTCATCGTTAATCGTCAGCAGTTAACAGCAACAGCAACAATAACAGCAATAAACAAAAGAATGCAACAACAACAAACACACGTCACTAGACAATAGCATTTAATATAGCCATTTATTTTATTCATAACCAACAAGACAATTTAATATTTGTATTTACTTGCTTTTGTTTTTGTATCGCTTGCAGGCCATACACTGCTCGGAGAGATATCAAAATTACTCAACGGATTTACCGCCGCCAAGGCGTACATCATGCGCCCGCACCTCGACCACAGGCCTGTGAATTACCTGCAGTAGCAGCGGCGAAAACTGCGCGCACAACAGGGCGTATGAATAACATGCTAAAGGACTGCAAAGAGACGCTTATACAGAGAGACTCACAGCTCAGCGACGGACAATTGCTGCCAACTGGCGAGTGTAATGATAAATTATGTCGCTTAACGCCAACTTTCGCCGCACATCCGGCGATTTGGGTGAATAAAGTAAATAAATATATATATACATACATATACATACCTACATGTATATGGATGTAAATATGTTTGAATAGATGTATTTGTATAAGAATTTAATGGCAACAAATAAATAAAAAACATTGTGTGGACAGAAAGAAGTTTTGAAAATGTTGTGAGCAGCAGAAAAAAATAAATTAAAAGCTTTAATATTTATTTATAGAAATGTATATATATATATAATATATATATATGTATGTGTAGGTAGGCTTATATTGCATGTATGTAAGTATGAAAGTCAGTGTTAAACTTATTTTAAAAAGCAAATGCGTTCTCGAAGAAAGTGAAAAGTGGCGGCGGGTGTGAGATATTGAATATTTGCCTTCCCCGGCTTCCCACTTATCCCCCGTTATTTACCGCTAAAGAAGTCGTAGGCAACGCAAGCTAAAAGTTTTTAAAGCAGCAGCAGCCAATTAACGCCGAACGTGCTGATTTAATTAAGGCTTACGAAGATGATGGAAAATGAAAAAGCGCAGACTAATGAAGCTCACACACACACGCACACTCACATATGTATATACAAATATACAGACGCACAACCCCACATTCGTATATACATATGTACAGATGCACAACCACGCAATGTGTTGAAAGTCTTAATTGCCTACTTCCAGGCGCTTGCTACACAATTTCACATGGGCCACCCTTAAGCCTAACCGTACAGACCCAGTGACGATAAGTGCCTAGTATTGGCCACTGATGCGCACTGAAATGCCGCTAATTTGCCTTGCTCACCACTGGATAGTCGAATTTTCGTTTAACTGACGAAACGAAGCTGATTATGTTGAAAGTGAAAGCGCACGCCCAAACTGACTTGAGATGACTGTAGCGTATATACAAACATAGATATGTATATACACATATACCATATATTGTTGTTGCTTATTCGGCGCGTCCCTTTGATTGATGGCCATTACAGTATTATTACGAACACTGACATACTTAAACACATGCATATATAGGGTACATACATATATGCATACAAGCCGCGCACATAACAACAATGAAGCGAAACCAAATAAATAAACAATTAAGCATATAATGTTTTGACAGTTAGCTTATTGTAAGCCGTTATAAAGATACTGTAGATACTTTTTGTAGTTGTCATGTTGTGTACACGAGTAAGAGAAATTGATTTTTGTAGCTATAAATTGCTTGATGAGATTGTCTAATTAAAAGTATTAAAAGCACATACGTTGTAGCTGGTGTAAGTATATAATTTTTTCTAGTTTATAAAGTTTTGATTTCATGTTACAATAACAAAAAATATATATTTGGATGTATACACACATATATATATATATATTTATTTTTTGTTATAATAGATATGCATGTATGTTAGGGTGGGTAAAAAAATCTAATATATTTTTTTCGATTCGTACTCTGAAAAATTTTTTAATAGATACATACAAGAAAGGTTCTCCAAGTATGAACTCTTAATTGTAATGGGAAGGTTCTTCGCCTAAAGATTTTCTATTTTTTTCTTATTATCATATTTCACTTCCAACAACGTGAACAAATATTTCGTTTCATAGATTTTGTAGGAAATTTTATGCTCTACAAAATATTCTCTGAGCATTTTTTCTTAAACCTAACGGATACTAAGATATTAACGATTGAAGTTCGACTATTTTAAAGCAGGTTTACGAAAAAAGCATCAGAGAATATTTTTTTAAGTTATTGGAAGTGAAATATGAATTATTTTAAATGATAATAAATAAAATATAGAAAATCTATAGGCGAAGGACCTTCCCATTACAATTGAGAACTCATACTTGGAGAGCCTTTGTTAGAGGTGTCTACCAAGCAACTTTTCAGCGAAGTTTTTTTTCACTCACCCTAATGCATATGTTTACAAAAAAATTATACTTATAGCTATGCGTTAAGTAGTTGCAATAAGTCTTCTGTCAAGTAGACTAGTTCCCTAATAGAAGTCGACAGAAATTAAAAATATGATAAAATACTAAATGTTAATAGAAAACACTTTAAATGAGATTTGTGCACGTATATGAAATATGATTACTAAAATGTGTTAAAAAAAAATTGTAATAGAAATTGTATAAAATATAGTATTACTAAAACTAGAAGTATAGTGGCAATTTGAAATAAAACGTACAAGTTAAGCAAAATTTTATATATTTATATTTTGTTGTTATTATTTTTATAGTTTGACTTAGTTACTATTAAATTTTGAAACATGCATCTAAATTAATTAATTTAACCCAGCTACAGACTAAGCGGACGGCTGTACGCAAAAAATTTGGTTATAGATGTGAAGGTCATCTTTAAATTGATATATAATAATATATATTTTAAGCGCTTATATTCACTTGTAAATTTAATAAAATCGATTATTTGTTTTATATATACAACTAATGTTCTCAAATTTTCGATTATTTTCCGAAAATTTTAAGTTAATCCGGCAAACAGTTTCAGCGATATGAACGAGAATTTTGTTAAAATGATTTAACTTTTCTTTAAACGGCACGCAAAATTTTAAAAGCTCGTAACGTTGTTTTCAGAGGCGGTGAGGAGAATTTTTCCAGAAACGGCTCGACCGCTTGACTTGAAATTTTCACACGACCTACTCAAATAGATATACATATATGCAGGTAATGACTGAAGCAATAAGATTTTGATAATATTTTTGAGTTTTTAAGCCAAACTGAAGTGTAAATTTTTTTACAAAGAGCAAGTTTTTTTTGGGCAGCCGCCACTTTGTCAAAAATAAAAATTTTTACTAGTTTTTCGATCATTACCTGCACTCATCTATTGTAATAATAAATAGTTTTGATTTTTGGTTTTGAGATAATTTTAAGCACAAAAATTTTCCACACAGCCAGACACTTTGTTTCGGAGGTCATTCTGAAGATCGGCTATGAGAACGAGGTATTCAAAAATATTTCAAAATTTATCGCCGCGTATTAAATTAAATTTTAGAAAAGTAAATTTGAAAAAAACACCACAATAACACACTTTTTAACTGACTTTCAAGTGGATATAACCACTCAATGGACTGAAATGATTTCTGCGCCTAACAAATTATTTAATTTCAGTTTGTCTATAATGTGATAAAGCCATAAAAGTGCAATTAGCTGAATATTTGTACATTTTTTCTCAACATTTTCCATACGACCTCAATAATATTAATGATAAAAAAGTTGCAAATTTCCGAAACTGGATTGATAGATGTTAGAGAATGCTATAGTAAGCTCATATATGATTCAGGTCAAAATGTTTGCCGAAAAAGTGCATTGCACCTCCAGTTCATCTATTTACATATGCATGAAATGTCTGTAGTATTTTTCCAGGAAATCACCATAAAATTTAATCAAAAATTCTACCATTCACAGCAAAACAGGAACTAATGTAGAAATGCAAAAAAATCAATATTTTAAAATGTAAATCTTAATATTTGATTAATTATTGTATTTGACTTGTTATCATCAATTTTTTACTATTTATAAGTGCGCATAAAGTGTTTACGTCTATCATATGATAAGTCAGCTGACTGTCACATGATTTGTCAAATGGTGCAAAATTTCAGTAAATATTTCTTCCAATAACAATTTTCGTGTTTTTCGTAAAACAGACTTCAACATAATCAGCGTTTTTAAGCCTTAATTTAATAGAAATTATCAAAAAATTTAAGGTTATGTTGCTAAAATTGTTGGTCCATATATTTTTTTAGTCTGTGTCAGCACATATTTTACTATACTACAATACTTCTAAATATATATTCTGTCAAACACATAAATATTTTTTTCATGTGCCTTCCGCCGCCATATGTGAAAGTATGCCATATGCGTACAAATATATCAAATGAAACGCAATTAGTTACATGAAAGAGGTGATTTTAAATCCCAAGAAATATTTTTTATATAAACTGTATTTTTACGTATATACATATGTACATACAAGCGCTCGATATATGTAATAAACAGTTAATAACAGCAGCGATTATAAATATCACATACGAGGTGTGTTCAAAGGAAAAGGTGAAATTTGATTTTTCGTGGACTGTGTACATTCGATTATCGATATTTTTGTTTTTGTTATAATCGGACACATATGTTTATCATGTGCTTGCATTAGGCGCAAATTCCGATTAGTAGTTGGTTTTTGACAACAAAAAAGTGTTTATAAGTGGTACAAGCGCTTTACAGGAGGCCGCAAAGTTGTTGATGACGATGAACATCCTGGAGGTGCGACTATGTCAACAAGCGAAGAAAACATCGAAACAGTGAAAAAAATTGTTTTTGAAAATCATCGAATCACTATTAGAGAAGTTGGAGAGGAAGTTGGCATAACAATCGGCTCATGCTATTAAATTTTCTCGAATGTTGAGGGTATGAAACGTGTGGCAGCGAAGTTTGTTCCGAAATTGCTAAATTTTAAGCAAAAGCAATGTCGCATTAGTATCGCTCAGGAGTTATTGAATGACGTCAACAAGAGCCGGGTTTGCTCAAATGATTGATTTTGCTCCCTGCGACTTTCTCCTACTCCCAAAACTGAAGAAACCAATGAATAGGAAAAGTCAGAATCGAAGAACGAGCGGATGGCCAAGCGTATTTCAGAAGTGCTTCCAGTATTGGAAAAAGCGTTGGCACAAGTGTATTATATCTGAGGAATTTAAAATTCACCTTTTCCTTTAAATACGCCTCATAATTAGTAATGTAAAAAAATAAATATATAGTCTGTCGAAAACATATGTATATATATATATGTATGCGTGTGAAAATTTAATTCACAATATTTCAATAGTTTTATAAGGATTTGGTTTGCCTTATATTTTAATTAATAAATAAATATGATTTAATAAATAAACAAAAAAAAATTATAAAAAAAAAAATTTTGAGGAATAAAAAAAAAAATTGACTCTGAAATCACGCTTGAGTTTTTGATTTCGATTCCAACTTTTAGTAATACATTAAAGGTTTTTAGTTCTATGATGTAATAACGATTGCAAATGATATACCATATTTTTCTGAACTTGTAATTACAGTTCAACAATCATAATATAA